CATAAAACGCCCGTTATACAGGCTATTGCAATTCATTTTAAACTCCTCAAATTGCGTGACTCCATGACGCCATACTTCGTTCACGTGACCAACAGCACGCAAATTTTAAGCACCTACTGTCACGAAATGATGAAATGTTGTTTGCTTTGTAAAATTTGCACGTCATCTCACAGTGCAACGTACGATTGTGGCTGGTAGTTGTAGCAGTCTCACCAGGTAAGCAATGATCAACGTAATGCAATTGCTTCATGCCCACTGGAAGTTGATTTACTTCTGAATTACTTTCTTTTTACGAACAGATATGACCTACTATAAATAAACATCTTGTCTCTTGTTTAATCCGATAAAAAATTGAGTTCTTTTATGCTCACTGTCCTTTTAAATTACGAGGAGTGTTAATTTAATTGTAAAGTTAAATAATACTGTTGCTGCTTCTTTCTAAAGTCCACTTGCTTGAAGACCAGAGCCTATAATTTTTCAGCTTTTTTTAATGTTATATAGTGCTTGCTATGAATAAACTGCCGATTTGAATTTTTTTTTATTATTTGATTTTAGTTAGGGTGAATGTAAAGGTGTTGCTTCAGTATTTCATTATGAAGTTTTAAATCATCACGTATGCTCTGATATCGACCGTTTTTTGAGCTTCAGTCCATGAAAAATGGTCACTACATACGTTTCATGAGGGAGTGAATCAGCCGCAGTCGATTGACCATCATTAGGGAGCTTTAGCATCGACGGCAGCGAAATCGTCACTTTTGTGAACTCGCGTTTTATTCAAACTTTGCCGCGCTTATTCCAATTCCCTGAAAATGCCAAATGTAGGCGAATTTCCCTAGAGTTGATTTCTTGGGGACCACACTCAAGTTTTAGAAGAGAAAGAACGATTCGTTGTCGCTTTAAACGTCCTCCATAAGACCTGAAATTAGGGATTTTCACGCCGTAGTCGTGTAGTGACGGCAAAGAAATGTACAAAAAAGCAGGATGCAGGTGCAAAGATGTTGTTTTGCTAATCTAAACCTATGGGTTTTTTTTGACGTTCTCGCTTCCGTCGCCGTCGTTTTTGCTAAAGCTCCTGCTGGCACATGTTCAATCCCCACGTACACGATATATTGGATTGCGTGACATTTCTACCGGTCGCGCTTGAGTAATTGTGGAACATGCAAATGCTTTATCCCCGGAGTTCCAGAGGCAGCTAATCGAGACGGAATATTTACGGAAAAAAATCAAAACTAAACTTGGCCTGTACCGATTTCGCCCGTGATTATCCTGTCCCAATTAGCTGTCCCATGGTCTTTCGCGGTCCTCGAGGGCTGCAAATTTTCGAAGGTTATCAAACAGGTATTTAGTGCCTGGTGTTCAACAAATGCAGAATCTGCAGACTTTATAATTGTAGACGGGTAGACTTTTAACAGCTCGATTGGTCAAATGCTCTGAAACAGGGAGAGAGGCTGCTCTGAAAACTGTCCCCAGCCCTGCGGGGGTGAGGAGACCAAGTATAAAACAAAAAAAGGAGCACTTTAATAGGTTTTACACCATTCTCGTCCCCAGGGCCTCCTGAGGGCCTGAGCACGAGGACCGGGAGGCTCTGGGGACAATTCTGGGGACACAGGATTTTAAGTCCTAGATTTCAGGACTTCCGGTCATTTCCGATTCAAAAGTAAGTTGGAGGATTCTCTTTTAAGAGCTTTGAATCACCCAAATTTACACTCATTGACACTTCTGCAAGAGCAAGTGAACGTACGCTATTAGAAACGTTGTAGAAATTCAGAAATGACCGGAAGTCCTAAAATCTAGGACTTCAAATCCTGTGTCCCCAGAGCCTCCTGGTCCTCGTGCTCAGGTCCCCCAGGAGGCTCTGGGGAGGAGAATTTTTTTACACGTCATGCCACTTGAGATGTCAGACTGTTACCAAGGCAATCAATTGTCATCAATGTTTGCCCAAATATGGCTAAAGAATAGACAAACAGCATGCAAGGTGTCTCTGGATATAAGGCTATTGGCAAAAATCAGAGAGTGAATTTTTTTAACTTAGTTGTAAGAGTTTTGTAGTATTGAATATTATCGTTATTATTATATTGTTTTACTTTTACCAGAAGTACACTGGGTCAAAATGAACCGCAACTTTTGTTGGTGCCGTAACTTACTGGGTCAAAAGCTGTCAGATGATGAAATGGGGAATATAAAACACCCTGCTGCAGAACTCTATGCTCATGTTACCTTCAAGTCTATTCAGGCTGGAGCTGTTTTAGGAATGGTTTTGTTTGCTCCTGCAGTCCGCCTTGCAGCAGGCCCTCGCACGCTAGCAGCTCTTACTGAAACAGCTATTCGTTACGGACGAAAAGGTGCAATAATTGGTGTTCCTCTAGTTTCCGTCCTGACATACGCCAGAGCCGCAAGTGGTGAAGGCATCAATGAGGATGGCTACATTGATCGTGCATACAGATTAAGGTAAAACCCACGTACATGTTATACCTATATTTCAGTGAACTGAGAATCATATAAAGTGAATTTGTCTGTCTGTCTGTCTGTCTGTCCATCTGTCTGTTTGTACCATATCTCAATTCCGTTTCTTGTCATTTTCACGCAGATATAACCGAAACCAGATCCGTGTAGATCAAGCCTCTATTTTAGGCACCTTAGGTGGGGCAGGCGGGTCCTTGTTGCTAGGAGGCTCTGCTGTGAATGGTGCTGTGGTTGGCCTTGTAGGTGGAACGGTTGCCATGGGGCTCTATAACACCATATTTGCTGAGAGGCATCTCTAGGCCAAGAGCAAGAGAGCAAGGCGAACTGTCAACTAAACATTATTCTTTATTATAGTCATGCATCCCATCATTTAGTTAACAGCAAAATAAATATACTTTACCCTTTAAGCCGTAAGAGTGATCAGCATCAAATTTCTCCTTGTAATATCAATGCTTTGTAAAATAGGGTGGTCATGAGAATTACATACATGATCACACAAGATGAATTTGCTTGATATCTTATCAACTTCTCCCCACTACTTCTGTGGGAATGAATACGGGCAACAAATGAGAATTCAAAGTCTGATCTTAGGGTTTAAAGGGTTAAATCCAATAAAATATATCTTTTAAGCCTTTGTACAACAGCCTCTGGGGGTGGCTGTACAGGGTACACAGACTGTCTTATCACATACCCTGTCAACATGTCAACTCAATGTTCGTTTTAAGTTGAAGTCTTTCGTTAGCCTCATAACTAAGCTACCCTACGTTAGCATAAGCTATCTTATTTACGCGTTGCCTCAGTTATTCAAGTGTGTTCTTCCTGACTCCATCTGTTGAAAATTCTGGAGCCGGGAAATTTCATCCAAATAGTCTCCAGCTAATCGTGGAACAAATAAGTATATTTTCAAAGAGAACGTTTCATCAATGAGTCTTAGTAAAATATTGAAAGAAATGATTCTGCAAAACTCGGGCAATAATGATAAAAATCGATAACAAGCTGTAAATGACAGATGTCATCTTGATATAATTTAAATTTTTTAAGTTAAAAAATAAATATAACTTATATGGGTATTTCTTCAAAAAAACATTAGCAAGATGATATAGAAACGTTCTGTTATTCTGATTTTATTATTAAATGTTGATCCAAAACGACCAGCGAATTCCACCTTTTTCAACCACTGAATGCGACCAAGTTTCTTGACCTCCAAAAATTCGAAGGGTAGGATTATAAAGTTGCATGCAGAGCCACCTCTATCAAGTAGTAAACCATAACCACAAGGATGGTCAAACAGCCGATACTGATTGACGCCATTCCCCATTTCCATGCTTGGTTGGAATTGTATTGAGCACCAGCTGTATTTCCCCGTTCAAAGTCAGAGTTCACCTGAAAGGAAAAATGGATAAGGATGTTAAAGGGGCTCTATAATGACATTTGCTATCTTTTAACCAAGCTATAATACGTGCTTTGAACTCTAAATCTTGTCGGCTGACGAAGATGGACATGGATTTAAACGTTGGGCTATTTCTAGTTTTAACGCTATGCTAACCCAAGAAAGAATGATTCTCTCCGGCTTGGTTAAACAGAAATCGCCAAAAAATTATTGTGGTTAGTCTTATACCTTTGTGACTGACTAAACAGGAGCATTTTGTGTATGAATGAGGCAGCGCTAAGTAATGACTAGTCAGTACAGAATTGACATTGAGCAGCAGCAATATACTGGTGACTTAACCCCTTTCGATGAGTCTCCGACAGCCGGATTCGAACCTGAGACCTCCCAAACACCAGGTACTGGGTGCTAAGCATAGGCACATTTATAGCAATGAGGCTGAGTACGTATGATCTGAAGAATTACGATAATTTTGCAGTTCGAGGAAAGCATTGAGGTGTTTGGTCTCGGCGGATATAATACCCTCTGAGATATGCATGATTCTGATTCTGATTCTGAGCCTAGCCTGCAGACAGATGTATTTCTCTCCACCCGAAAGAGAAGCGACGACCAGAAATACGCCTGTGTCCGCAGGCTGATGAAAGCCGGTTATTATTCAAAAAAATTCTTACGTTTATAATTAATTCATGCTTACGTAGTTCAAAGTTAATAAGTTGCCGTCTTCATTTTCCTATTACTCGGCAAATTCAGGATAAAAAGGAATGTTTAGTCTGCTGGGCAGATGGCGGAAATTCCCCTATCCAAAATATTTAAATCAGTGTTATTGACGTTGTGCTCAGGAAAAAAAAACCAAAAATTATACGGTATAGTAAAAGAGATATAACTTTTTACCCGCACTGCATAGTATAATGATACCAGCCCACAGGGACAGGTGCAAAATATGATACTCAACAGAGCCAGCATAAGATGATTAGGAGGCAAATCTTGATCAAGATCCATGCTCTGGAGAAAAAAAATGTAACTTATTAAAAATGTGTAGAACGTTTGCTCGCGTCTTTTTTAATTTAATAGAACCTCAAACTAACGCAAACGCTTTATGCCGTCCAATCAGAGCAAAGTTATTGTATTACGTCACCCGCAGCTACGCGGCAGTACAGTAATTGCGTCTGTCTCAAAAAGTTCTCAGTAATGGCGGAAAACGTGGAGTGTTCATTGAGTGAATACAGTGGACTTTGAGATGAAGGGTTATGGGCTCCCCCATTAGAGTCGGTAGCTATTGCTTTTTCCATTAATGTGAGTTTTGTAGTTGTAATAACCCTTGTTCTTTCTTAAATAAAAGTATCACAAATTCAGACGAGAAAGTATAAGTAAAGTGATCATACGGGATGACAGTTTCAACTTCGATCTTCGACTGGATCATCTTTGTGAACTAAACTGTATTTTTTTTGTCTTGGATGATCTTGTGATACGGTGGACAAAACGCTAAAACTGATCAGTACTCTTTGAACTCGGTAGACATGTTATCATCTATCTGCTAAAGAAACTGCATAATTGTAAATGACTCAGTTGGTCAGTTTTGGAATTCATTCTTGCTTCTTGGTTTGTGCCTTGGACAGCCATGATAAAAGCGGCCCAAAATAGTAGAACTGTTCATATTCGATTTTCATTTGTAAGTGTTAATCAGTTATATTAAGTATTTAATTACATTTACAACGGGATTTGTCTGATGTCCGGGTTGCTGTGAGCTTGGATACAAATTTGCCATCGCGCTTCTCGCTGGAGGTACAGGCAGATTGTTCTCCTGTAGGGAGGTGCCTGGTCCGCCTGTCTGAATGGCGTCTGGAAAAAAAAGTAAGACCTATAATACTTTCTCATCAAGGCATCTTGACATAGGCTCATAACTAATGCATTTTGTTGATTTGTCATTGCATTTTTCGTACAAATCTGATTTTTCCTTACCGCTTTCGACTGGCTGTCCAAGAGGGTGCAATTTTTGTGGAGGGTAGGGCGGGGGAGCACAGACACCCAGAAAACTGTGTCTCTGCCTTTTTTTTTACATTCGGCACCAGCCTCCTTACACTATCTCAGCCTTGTAGCCTTGCATGAAAATCCCACCCTGTATAGCCCTATGTGATAGTGCTTCCCCTCCCTCCGCGGGGAGCTGCGTCTGTTATGACAACTAAGGCTGATATTTCAATGATACCAGTCAGTAACCTCATACTAGAAACAAGTTTGGCCAAGCCAGGAGGCGAGCCCGGTTTACCCAGCGTTTAGCTCGAGTGCTACTAAACCTTATTGCAAATCACTAGTGTTTTTTTTTGTTGTTGTGTAAGCTAAGTTCAAAGTGCTAACATTACCATTAAATCCACGATTGTCTTCCATTTCACTGATGATGCAAAGGAACGGAGGCCATGTTGATGTTAGTCTTTATTTTTTAGCTACGATGCTTATTCCTGGTGATCCAGTTTGGGTGCACCGCTTTTATGTTTCAATCCGTTAAGCTGTTTTCAACAATAATCATAGTTACAATCAGTATTAGCAATGATGACAATACTACTAGCACAAGCTGCTTCCAATATCACTACTCCAATTACACTACCCTTGTCACTACCACTCCCGGCGGGCTACCCGGTTACTACTTCTGCAAACTCATCAGCAACAAAGAAATCTTAGCGTGATGGACTGAATACCTTTTCCAGCCTTTTTTCCTACCTTTTTCAATTTCAAAACATTTTTGTTAAAAAACGATTCAGGCGTTTAGCTATGGGTGTGAGATTCGGGAAAGCAACTTTACATTAAACGGAACACTCGAAGGTTTTCGATTTTACGTTGCGATCAACTGGGAAAATTGTTGTTGTTGTTGTTGTTTTTTTTTTTGCAGTTAACAGTAAAAGTAACCGTCGAGATCCGGTTGGAGAACTGAGCTGAATTTTCAATATTGACTAATACATCCGGCAACAAAATTAAATTTATACTAGACAGAAGTTAGTAACCAGACTCTCCCTATCAAGGCAGTATTACTGTAGCACTTTACCAAAGCCACTAGTGTAGCCATTAGCATGAGAGAAAACGGCCCCCTAGCAATGTAAGAAAAACAGGAAAAATCACATTAAAGACTATGTTCAGGTACGGGATTTGCCCCTTGCCAACTGAACCCTTGGCTTCGTAGTTAACGGATTTTAGAGAACCTTAGCTGGTTACCTTCGGGTAGCTTTCGTTGTGTTTCGAAAAATTTTAGTCCAGCACGTCGAGAGCACATCTTAGAACGCATACGCCTGAGACGTTTATATTCTTTGGTATCTGAAATTCTTGGTTTTAGGAATCCAGTCGTTTTGATTAAATTTTCGAGATCGTGACAGTTGAAAGCGAATGTTATTTTTATTCTGTTCATTCGTCTCAGTCGACATCTATCCCACTCTTCATTTTGGGTACAACTAACAATTCCGCGGGATCGCTGAAGAGCTCTTTTAATTTTAACTCCGAAAGTATTTGAATTATTCTTTTACGTCGAGGGACATTAGTAAAAGAAGAATTAAATGAATGTGGGTTTGTGCTTGACTTATCATACACACTGATTTAACTCCCAAAAATAGTCAAGATCGTGCCGTATAGGTTATTTAGATCTTAAAACTCTTGGCGTGATACTCGAAGAAGACAGCTCTATAACTACTTTTCTTAGAAATGCAGAGAACAGAAGGGTATGCAGTAAAGCAATATTATGAACTAGTAAAATAATATTTGGTGGTAGACAGCAACTGTGATGACGTCACAACACATTTGGACAGATGCAAGGTAATTTTCTGCTGATTGCCTCCGGGTTGTCCTTTTTTTTTCGCGAAGAGTCAACTTTGTCCTTTGACAGATCAGTCAAATAGGAGATTTGTCCTTTATATTCGTTTCTTTGCTAAAGCAAAGTTATAAGCTATTTCATTTTTAAGGGACACACATACGCTTTAGTGATTCAACAAGACAGAACCTACGTACACAGTACGCATCACTGAATATCCTGTTCATGAGGCAGTACTTTAATGGGTTTGAAATAAACGAGGCATTAACAAGAAAAAGTGGAAATGTAGAAATTGTTACGAACTTTATTAATTCATAATAGTGTAACTGACAAATAAGGCCAGTTATTTAAACGGAGTTTAGGCAGTGCTTAATAAAACTGGGTTCTAAGCAATTCATTCAGTTTTTTCAACGCTTTTATCTTAACACTGTTTATCATTAAAAGTTGCATGAAAGCATCATGCCTTGCCTGAAGAAACACTTATTTTCTTAAAATAACCCACTATGGAAGAGATCTGTCCAAAGATTTGCTAAGCCGCGGCCTAAGTTAGACATCGCTTAAACAACCGACCCATAATGTTTAATGAAACTTTTATTTACTTGTGCAACACTTCTTAATTGTACGTCATTAACACGCGACTGAATTGGGATGTTTCTTTAGTAGACAGAGGTTGCAAATGTCATGGACGTGATTAAATGTTTACATCTCAGTATAGTGCCTTATTTTACCATTAGCCTTGAAATATGAAATGTGTGCACTAGTTTTGACGACTAGAATATGCGTGACTATGGAACCAACCAATTTTAATTAAGCAACTGCAAGATTAAGCTTACCCGACTGGATCTTCGTAGCAGGTCGGCTTTCTCTTATTAAAAGTAGTTCCTCGAAGTTCCAGAGCATAGGCAAAAACAGCCGTCTTTCGTGTAGCTTCACAGAACCAAATGAATAGGTTATATCATCGCATCTGTTTATAAAGGCTTACCAATGCAAGGTTCATGTCTGACAAACATTCGAAAAGCTACCGATAGTAATGATATGCAAATTGTATTTGTGTTATGCATGAAAGAAAAAAAGAACAATTATTCATTTGAAAATCTGAAATAAAGTTTGTGGTATTTTATTGGTTGCATTTCAAAAGTAAATCTACAGTTAAATAAAAACACCAGCAGTGCTTACTGATCCCCCGATATATTCCACTGTTGAAATTTCTTCAAAAATATTTGGTATGCGTCATTGATCTGGTTTTGTAACATAGTAGTGACTAAAGGACACTTGATTTGAAATCATAGTGAAAATGAAGTTGAACCGTGTTTTACAACATACGATAATAGTAATAAAACGAAATAATGCAGAAATTTCAGGCTCTAAACGAAAAAACGGGCAACAAAAAATGTGCAACTTGTTTTGCAAGTTTGCTGCAAAATGAGCTGAATAGCGATGTTGCACATGTTACCACCCACGTTCAAACCTGTTTACAACCTGATTTGTTGCAAGACGTCAGGTGTAATGTGGGTGGCAAAAGACGCAACATCGCTATTCAACTCGTTTTGTAGCAGTGTTGCAAGACAAGTTGTACGGTTTTTGTTGCCCGTTTTTGCGTACCTTAAGAATTGGTGCTCTCAAAAGAGTAGGCAGTAAACAGCCGCACCCTCCCCTCCCCTCTAATCATAACCAGGGTGAAAACCTGTGCTATTCACTGTCCCTGGTCTTGTAAAGTAGGTAAGTAACGTAAATCAGCTTGGCCTGATTTGTTCATTAACAGTTGGTTCACGCGTCAGCGTGCGTATGTCGAGATAATTTAAAAGAGGCGTAAAGTGGCTCGAGGCGGCTCATCCTCGGTGTAGGAACCTCTTACAATCACGGGTGACGTAAAACAAAGAAAAGAAAGAAGTCAACAAAATAGAACCCAGGAAAACAAAAGGTGCGAAACAAAGAAAAAGTTCACGGGTTCTTACACCGAGGTAACTGCTCTAGCCTCTTGGGTGCTCTCCAAACTTCCCGAGGGCTTCATATCCCGACATACGCACAGCTGAAGCATGAACCAATTGTGAATCAAAACACATGCTAGCTGAGCGCTTAGTCGTGTGCTTTTGAGTTTTGTAAGGATACAGTTGAAAGGATTGCTTAGCTTACAAGAAATAGAGGTATTTGACATCATCAGCGTGCTCAATGGAATTAATATGAAGTAAGCTCGTGCTATTGAATTTGATAAATGGGAATGACATGGAGATTTCAGAAAAAAAAATTCGCGTCCGTTTAAACGCCCACGCAGACGATCTGTTAGAATATACCTTATTATCACTTATTTTTGCGCGACTGCCACTTGAAATTCGCGAATTTGGAATAGAAATATTTCTCGCGGGACTTAAATGTCGCGATTTTGACGAATCATCGTTTTTCAAGGTAATTAAATTTCGCAAATCAAGTACATTGGTGCTTGTTTCTTAAACTTCTAATTCTGCACTTTATTTAACCATAACGGAATAGACACGCAACAAGGAACTGACTGAAATGTTCAACAATGTCAGCAACATAACATCTTTTAAAAGTACACTGATACGATATGAGCAACTTTAATTCAATGACGCTGCCAATTAGTTTCTAGATAAGGATCGCCTCAATGTTTCCAAATGGATCTTCAGGCGATATGGTTTTCTTCCCTTGAACAAGTTCGGCTACTGATTCCCGCTTTGTTCCTTCCTTTTGCAATTTGCCGCTTTTCCACACTGCCTGTAAAGTGGTTGGAAAGGCTCATCAGCCAGGTGCCATGTAAGGGATTCGCAACAGATAGAGTTAAATCGACCCCAATCTCATCAGTACTGTCCCCGACTCCATTTGTTTCTGAAATTCGGCCGAACACCAAGTTGTAAACATACCTGCGCTTTATGAAGGATATCGGTTGATGCTAAATTCGAAGACCAGTGTGCTGAAGAAGTGATACAGGAACTAAGTTCAAAATTGTAGGAATTCTGTTGACCTTTGTACACAGTCATGTCCACGGAAGCTAACAAAAACATATATCAAAGGTGTCTAAAGGGTTTCTGATAACCATTCCACTTTAAATACTATGTTTGGGACAAATGCAATGCTCGTATGCTACAAATAATGAATTTTTTTACACTAGTGTCAGTTTCGTGACAAAAAGAAGAAGAAGACAAGAAGATTTATTTCACTCAGCTTGGTTTTTGAAAATGAAAGGATGCCTATGGCTAACTCGTGGATTAAGTGTTTTAGAAATGAAAGCGGAAAATGAACTTCCACTTAGTCTACCCATCTTATTTAAGTCTGTCAAAGTCACGTGCGAGACTATCTTATCTTCATTTAGGTCCACCCAAATTAGAGTTTGGTTCGTCTCATGAACTGAGTCCGACGATTGGCCTAGGGGCAAAGTGCAACATCTCTACGTGCAAATTGTGTGCGTGAGTTATTAATTTGAAAACCCTGTTTCCTAGATCACTGTATGATCCAACGCTTTTAGGTGCCAGCTGTGTTACTGTAAATCTCATGCAGTCTGCTCTTCACAGTAATAACACAGGTAACCCAGGCTCTGTAAGAGTACCACACTACAGTTCCAGTAAAATTACGGTGTTTGTATGGGGGTAAAAATAAAATCCTAGAATTTGCAGAAAACGCTAACTAAAGGTCAATGAAACTTACTTTGCAGTTGTTGTTGTCCTTAATGCTCAAACGAATTTTCTTCATAATTTGCTCAAATTCACCCTCCATGTAATATAATACACAATGTAGGAGTCTCGGCCGCCATGCTCCCTTTCCAACACAACGTTTTCCACGAAATTCAAACTCCAAAGGTACATTATAAACATGCTAGGATGGTGGAAATAGGACAGCATCAGATATACCAACTAATTAAGCTTTACTAGCTAGAGCAACGAATCCAACAGACTTTGACAAACTCGAATTGAGATATAATCCAAAAAGATCAACAGGCGTTGCACCGGAGCTAAGTGGCCGGGCCAGATCAACGCGCGGGTGATCATGGGTGTCCTGGGGTGACCTTTCTGGGGACTGATACATAGCTTGCCCAAAGTTAGCCTCCCCTGCTGGAAATACATTTGCTCGAGGGCTATGATTGGATTATCACCATTATTGGAGACAGTAAGCATGAATTTAGCACAATCTGTGCTGTAATCCCTAAAAAACTGTCATATCAGACCCCTACCTTTCCACAACGGCTACTTTCTTCTATTCCCAAGGTGGCCGTTGTGGAGAGGTCTGACTGTATCCTATTTAACCTTTAAAAACGATCAGCATCAAAGTCCTTCTTATCATAACAGCGCTTTATAAAACAGAGTGGTCACAAAAATAAAGTATAAGTTCATGATTTAAATCAATGCTATAACAACTCTTACCTGCTTGTGTAGGAAATGTATTGAGGCATCAAATGAGAATTTATACTTTGATATTAAAGTTACGCGTTAGCGCACGTGGGAGAACAATTAAAATGACCTAATGAACATAAGAGACATGAGATATGAGATAGTGCTTTACTGGCATAAGCCAGTAACCACAAAAAAAGAAAAGCAATGAGAATCCAACGCATTTTATTCATGAGCGTTCATGTATGAGTTTCTCTCCATCCCAAAAAACGGATAATTCGGTCCATACTATACTACTTAAAACGTTACCAAGAAAGCGAAGAAAGCGACGAAAAATGGCTCGTTGCTGTGCACTGGCAGGTAGAAAATTATTTATTTTTGATAATATGAAAAAAATTATGAGATAGCCTGTTCGCAGTCCCCGATTTTTCTGTAAGATCGTCGAAATCGAACGTTTTGCGTTACAGGTGGATGAGTGTCAAAACTACTAATGGGACAAGGGAAGGTTTGGGACGAAGTGAGAAAAATAGGAGACCGTTCAAACATTACTGGGGGTGCTATAGGTATTTTACGCTTTTTATCGTTAAAATTCAAGAGATCCTATTATGGCTCTTGATAATCTCTGCTTACGATGAAAAACATGCTAGACACATTTTTTTACATCGATTTCGCCTGTTTGAAAACATCAAATAGTGATTTTTATAATACAGTTACTGGGACATTCTTCCAAGTAAAATCGGCAAACACGCACAGTTTCAAACATTTTCCCAATCGAAGCGGCAAGCATGTTTTACCTTAATCACCAATTATAAAAGTAAACGCTCATAAAAAACCCTGAAATTTCTGACACGGATCGTTAGACATTTTTTAACTGAGGAAAGATAACATGTAAATTCAATCCCATTGGTAAATTTTATAGAAATGTCGTAAAATACCGAAAATAAGCCCTGGGGCTTATATTTTTCAACGGCCCTTTTTGAGGGAATAATAAAGGATTAAATTAACTGTAAAATCCGTGGACGAAGATCCTTCTAGCTGTAAAAGTTGGATCTCTAGAAAAGAGATCTAATCAGCCAAAATATAAAGAACCATAAACGAGAAGTCCAAAGACTACTGCAAAGCTGATTTAAAACAACGTGTATTGTTTTTTATAACAATATTTCGGCTGGCCATACCAGCCCTCTTCAGGTTTACAGAGGTTACTGAACTTATGTAAGAATCACAATATTATATAGATCAGAATGTCGCAATAAAAATTATTTAAAAGGGAGAGGCGGAAATGACGTACAACACAAAAACTAGAAAGGAAAAATAATAAGGATATGGATTAAGGATATTGAGGGGCTTGTTTTTGGAGGGGCGTATATCCGGAGGGAAATTTGTGTTTCAAAATCGATAGGGCTAGCCTTTTAGTTGGAAGTAAATTTACCGTTTTTGCTTTGTTTTACTTTGTTTGCAATTTTCCAAGTACAAGCCCCCGGGGAGGCTTATATTTGGAGGGGTTCAATTTTAGCGTTAACGGTTTGGGGGGCGTATCCATGGAGGGGCTTATTTTCGGAATTTTACGGTATTTGTTATTTGAATGATACAAGAAAGAAGGCCGCAGATGAGTGTTGCAAAAGATTTATCAAGGAGAATAACAAAGAGGCAATAATGATTGATTCCAATTAAAACAATAAAAGGGAGACATACGAAGTGAGCGAGGAAATGCCAATATTAGCAACACACAACATAAAGGACAAGGATATATTTAACACAATGGAGTTTATAATTGAGGAAATCAAGGGTGATAGTTTGAAAGTCAATGATTTTTGGTTTGAAAAGAATGAGTTTGCACATTATTTTACTCCTGTGCTCATTCAGTATAACAGCTTACAAATACCAAGGCTGTGATATTAAATGAGCATTACAACGTATCTGATGTAACAGTCAAATAAACGAAAGATATTACCCAAGAAAGCAAGCACTTTTAAAAATGGCAAATGCAAGGTCTAATAGTCGGTTCGAAACTGGCAAAATTTATGAGATAACGATTGATGACAAAATATATATTGGGTCAACATGAGAGGAACTGAGGACTGGGTTAAAAGGGCATTTGACAAACAAAAATAGCAGTGTGTATGAGTACATTGACAAGAACTCCACAGATACTATCAAAATGGAACTCATTGTAAATGCTTCAAGTGCGGACAAAAAGAGCCTTGAAGCTGTTGAGAATAAACATAAAGGAGAGTTTGCAGACAGATATGGAAAACGTGTTTTGAACAAGATACAATCCAAACAAACAAAAAAGATTGAGTAGCAAGTAAAAATTGAAACAAAAGATGAGTTACAAGAGAGAATAAAACAATTGGATACAAAATTTTAGATAAAAGATAATGAGAACAAATATTACACAACTGACAAAAAAGGTACTAAATACACGTGAGTTACAGAAAGAGAACAAAGGAAGAGGCACAATTGGAAATTAATACATAAATGGAAAAAGGATGCTATTGACAAAATTGTTGAAAAACAGGGATTAAAAACGGAGAAGAAAGTGGATAAAAAGTTTTGTATTTTCCTTGATTAAAAGTTAGTTTTTGCTTCACCTGATAAATCACAAGACTTAGATGTTCTTGGGGAATTCCCCAAAAGATTACATCATCGTCTTCCTGTTTTTCTGAGAATGTCACGCAAGATGAATGCATTGTGTGTGATCAAGAATAATGGCTCTTAATGTCATGTAGTGTATGATGGTTACCATGTCATGGGTACAAAAACTGGGGGCCAAAGAGAGCCATGCCATAGGAACAATTTAGATGCCGTGTATGTGGTTGGTGACTATGGCAGTGGCCATGAAAGCATGATTTAAGATCAGCTTTAAATGGCTGCTAAATGACTGGGGCGTTCCCATCGAGACTTCGTCTCTCCTCCCACCAGTACAAAGCCCTGAAATTTTAAACGCTTTTCCACCCCCTTCTCGTCTTCGCTGCGCTCGACTGTGATGCCCAGGAGCTAAATCTCTAAGGCTCCTTTGTGCCAAGTTTGTGAGCCGAGCAAGAAATCCGAATACTGATTTTTTATTCGAGTTTTTGTCAGTGTAGTAAGAAAGTGTGGTGACTTTCCGGTATGACAGTACCCCTAGTAACCCTTGTTTTAACGATTATAATAGCCCAATCGTCAACGCGAAAAAGCAAAATATAAGTTACAGGTATTTTATTTTTTTACACAACTAAAAACACTTTTGCTTTTACTATTAACTTTGCCTACAATTACGTGTAATATGTAGTTTCATTTTCACTTCATATTCGATACAAAAAGAGTACAGTTTCCTTTTCACGCGATTTCGTTCCAAAAACAAAGAAACGAGCAATACTCAAAAAGCTCAAGGTAATTTAACACGTCAAAGCCAAGGTTAAAACTACTTCATACTTCATACTTCTCCTTGTTAAAGTACTGTATAAAAAACGCAGACGACTTTTTGTGTCCAGTTGGTAAAATCATCTAGTAAGTGTCACTGTAAGAGGCAACTATTGCGGTGTAATAAATGATGATAAAAACGATCGCGCCCACGCCACAGAGGATAGAGGCGATATTCAACCACATAGCAATTCTTGAGTTTCGTCTTGCGCCTTCGTAATCACCTCCATCATATGCACTATCCACCTGGAAATAATAATGATAATAGTAGATATCGAGGTCAGAAAACGGAGATTACACAACTTTGCAAGGTAAGGTACGGTACAGAGAGAGGAGAGGAGGGATTCTAAAGATTCATTTAAAAGTGAAATTGTTGTGAAAGATTTACCCAAATTGTAAATACTGTACAAAAAACAGGACGTATGAAATATAATTACTAGTCAAGAACGAGTAGTGATCAATAAGCCTTCGAAAAAAAGGAAGAAAGAAAAAATGCACCGACGGAAAACTTAGCGTTCCAAAAATAACAGAGTAGGATTAATGTCACATTAATGGTACATTGGCTTAGGCGGTTGAGCTGGATTTCTGAAGAGAGATGGCGTCAAAATGTTTCATAACACCCTGCGAGCAGGGTCACTTGTGCGATTTCAGGGAAAATTTTTGGCAGCGGAAACGCCATCTCGCAAGAAGAATGGACCGAGGAAAGCTGAATAGCACTTTTATAGCCATTATACTCACTCGTCTCGTTGATCTCAAGTGCCACACAGACCCAGCAATGACAAGTATTCAAAACGGCCGCCACGAAATTGCGTAGTTATGCTAAAAAAAAATGGTCGAACTCTTGCCACTGGTGACGTCTTAACTCGTAACCATAGCAACCGACTTTTCATACAAGGGTGACAATAACTACAAAGCTACTCAAGATGGAGGTTGCAGAGCCAGCGTGGGGGGAAGGTGGAACCACTGCTCACGCTTGTAAGTTCCAAAGCTTTACTAGATTAATCAACTTAAAAAGCATGACAGACTTACCATGCTACTGAAGACAATGGCGGCTAACCCGATCGGCCAGGCACAGAACAAACAGGTCAAAATGGACAAGACCAGCCAGTTCTGTGGACGAGGAGTCATCGGCAAGATGACTGTTTGGCTGGGCTAATAAATAAAATACAATGGAGAAGCAATTAGTATAATTTCAATCACAAGATTCCTATATTCAACTAAAGATTAGCTGTTACTGATTTTATTGGAAAATTACTACATCTGACTACATCTGAATTTCGGAAGCAAAGACCAACGTTACAAAAAAGAAGGACCCGATCCTAATAAACTCAATCTGATCAGCTATAAGTTGAAATATCGAACAAAAGAAGCATGGCTGATTTTACAGTCCCGAATATATATTTTTTGTTACCAATACTGTATGTAAGACCCTGAAGAAGGAAGGCCGTGCCTTGCGAAATATTGGTAACAAAAAATGTATACTCCCGACTGTAAAATCAGCCTTGCTTCTTTTATTTGATGTTTCTGTTGCATCCTTTTTTAAGCTCATTAAATATTTCACACCCTATCCAGCTGCGTTTAACGGACGCCAAATTTTCTTCCTGACATCTTCATGTCATAAAGCATTATAACAAAACTAGAATATTCGAAAGAAAAAATTCATAGCAGGAGCTTTCTTCCTATTTCCATTGGCCACGCTCATGACGTCATCAAATTAATACCTCTTCTGTTCTTATGATCTAAGCATTCCTCTTAACTGCACTCATACAATATTATTTAAAAACCGTACCTGCATAACCACCGTTGTTGAACTTTGCTGCGTCGTTGGGTACGGTTGTGGATAACCCATGGGTTGTCCGGTAAAAGGCTGGGGGCCTGGGTACCCCGGCTGTGCATTATATGGTTGCTGTGGGTAACCAGGCTGGGCTGGGTAACCAGGCTGAGCCGAATAACCTGACTGAGCAGGCAAGTTAACTTGTTGTGGTGCATATGGTGGGGGCGACACTTCCTCTTCAAGAGGGACATAATTTGCTAGTGGAAAATAATTTAATAATAAAATATCATCTATGTTGAAAAATATACATAGTAGACCTTTTTACCGATACGGCGGCCATATTGAATTAAACCGTTTTAAGGAGTATTATAGGATGCCCAGGGGGCATGGGCACATTTCGTTTATAATTTTGAGCGCTTTTCGGGACATTTTTTCTTAACGTTTTCTTAGAATAAGATTGCAATGGCAAAAAAGGTCCTTGTGCCGTGTTTGGATGTAATAATGATCGCCTTTTTCTAGTTAGTAATAGAAATATGGTCTTTCACTATATATTTCTCGGGAAAAAGGCGATCATTATTACATCCAAACAAGGCACAAGGATCTTGTTTCCCATTACAATATTATTCTTAGAAAACAGTAAGAAAAAATGTCCCAAAAAGCCCTCGAAAATACAAACGAAATGTGTTTACGCCCCCTGGGCATCCTATAATACTCCTTAAATCGAATGAATTCAAAATGGCCCCACCGTATCGGTAAAAAGGTCTATTTATATATATTGATTAATAGACCCATTGGTCATTCCTGTGGTAGTTCCCATCTAGTTGCTGTGGACGCGTGCAACCACCAAGTGACGTAATAATGAACAGTCCAGTCAAAATTGCAAGCGCAGTGGTAATTTGGTTGCTAAAGTTATGTAAAACGTTGTAGCTAAATCATCTAGGCGGTTTGCTTGAATAATACTGTACCCGTTTTCGTTCCTAAGTACCAAATTCTTTTTCAGTCTTTTTATTGCTGTCTCTGAGGCCACCGTTGGGAACGTTTTGACTGATTTCTTATAATCTAAATTGCGTTGTATACTAAGGTGGGCACCCGCCGAGATAATTCTCGGTTTTTACATGACGTCACCGAAATTCAGACTAAGAAACTATCGGTTCTTCTTAGGTTCTACTTTCATGAGGTATTATAGGACCTAAAAACCTTAATTTACACAAATTTTCGGTTCGAAAAGGTTCCTTTTTTGCGCTAGAAGACGCTTGAATTTTCTGGCTTTTGCTGGCGACCGGGAAATTGCTTGTTAGGGTTCAAAACGTTACCAATTTTTCGAGATTTTGCTGTCTAATCATCCCTCAGAATTGTCTCAGAATAAATATTACTTTAATCTTTAAAAGTTCTTCAAGCGATGAATTCACGCGTTGGTAGGGAAACTCAAAAACAGATGTTTCTGATGGTTTCCTTTGGTCATATATGTGCCTCTCAAAGGGACATCAACATGGCGTCTCTATACAAAACTTTATAAATTTGGGCAAAACGTTTTTCCGACTACCTCGCATATGAAATATCCTACAAACCTAATTCTGGCCGATCTTGGCAAAGCATTTCCCAGGTTCTGGACTTTCCTCATTGAATGGTTTGTATTTTAATTTTTTATCGCGTGACAGTAAAAACAGGGAATAGACGTTAACATACCTTCGACAAGTCTTGTTTTATCAGACATATTTTCTTTCGTTACCTCTTGTCACTGGTTCTACAGGAAAATTTATAAAACGAATAAAACTATACCACATTCGTTACTGTTAGTACGTAGTTCGCATTTTAAGGGTCCATCCACACAAAACATATTGTTTCGCATCGAAACAACTCGTCGTTGCCAGCCTAACGCTGGAGTTAAGTTGGACTGCCCCCCTCCGTCTCCCCATCCAAGCACATCCAAGACAGTCTTGGATTCTGCATTTCACACGGTGGATTCCGGATTTTAGATACTGGATCCCGGTCAGTGGAACTTGTATTCCAGACTTGATTCCAAGCGTTACCGGGATCCGAATTCCTGGAGTTGTATTCCGGATGTAAAGCCTCGATTTCCGATTGCACAAGCAAAACTTTCCCCGATTCCCTTACACTGCGCAACTCAATGGGCATAACAAAATGGCTGCAGTGAAGAAGCGTCTGCAGTATTAAATATACGGTGGTCTAGTATTGACGAGTAACATTTATATTGTAATGAAGTCACCAGAAGAAAACGTTAGTGGCAATTTCGATAGTAGGTTTTGTAGGCCGAGATTAGTCGCGATGAGTTGGAAACGTAACGTATTAGGACACGCGAGGCCTTTTTAACTTAACTGTAACTTTATCATTCCATCGCTCATATAGTACAAACTCAGTAAAGCCAAAGCCGGGGGATTATACGGCCTGTGGTCAGAATGACAGAAATTATTTTGTATAGAAATGAAGACTGTAGGCTGAACTACAAAACTAAAACAAGATACAAAACTGAAATTAAATAGGTTTACATGCATGCAGTCCTATAACAGAGAAGGAACTAGTGACAAATAAACTAACAATAAACTATGAGAATCCTGCGCTAGTTCAATTCAGGCTTAAAAAGTGAAGTTTTAGGTTTTTTTTAAAGTTACTAGTGGTAAGGCTGTCACGGACAGTCAAGAGAATATCGTTCCAAATAGTCGGGGCTTGAGAACTAATCGCAAACTGATACCTGAGGGACATTTTATGCAAGTTGAAACGAGAACGAGTTAGATAATCATGAAAATCACGATTAAAGTGGAGGAGCGAGGAAAGAGAGGCAGGTAAAAGGCGATTAAAGTGTGAGAATACAAAACAAGAAACATGAAATTTATAAAGTGAATGGAGAGAAAGAATATTAAGAGCCAATGTCTGTAATTTTCGAGAATCGGTTGACAGTCGTGAATTTTTGAATTTCTTCATATTTTGCCCAAATGATCTCTATAGTACACTTATTTCAAAAATCACATTAAAACTTGTAACGGCTTTTTATTTTTTCCTGAATCGGGCAAAGTTTGAAAAACGCTAAATCGGCGCTCTTTCGAGTATGAAATTAGCGAAAATTAAGCATTTTCTTCGCGCTCGTACATAAAAACGTGATGATATCTCTACATGAAATCAAGTCACAAAGCAAACACAGACTTGTGCTTTATAATTCAGCAATTATCTTTAGATAAGCTGCTTAAATGTGGCTGTGTCGGCCGCAAGAAGAAACACGATTTCGGCTCTTTTCAAAAATGACAAGTTTGACCTAACTTCACCATTGAAAAAAACAATTGATACATGGAATTTCAACATGAAACAAACACTATTTTAAAGCACATCCTTTGCCGTTTCTTGTGTTAAAAAATTTTTGGCGGCATTACAAAAGTGCGTCGCTGAGATACCGAAACGTGCAGGGTAGTTTCGCACGTTGGAACGCTCAAACAAGCTAGCCGCGACTGTAGGCACCCAAAAGTTTTTGCAAACTTAGCTTCTTTTACAAGGGGCACATTACGGGAAGCTCTTAAAATCTTTTGAAAAACGCTTTTCAATTTGATGGTTACAAAAAAAAACTAAGTAGATTAACACTGCATTTGATTGCACGCAAGTAGCTGAAAAAGACGACGCTCAGATTAAGTCCTCATTGAGTGTAAATATTGACCTTGAGTTTCTGCACCTAAAATAAAGCCGCTAGAAACGGCGTGCTAGCTCTAAATGGGATTCGAGATCTCTAAGAATTTACTTACCACAGTCGTTTCAACTGCAAGTGGCCGCAGTTTACTGAAATCTTCCGTCGTTTAGCCTCGGACTTAATGCTGTGTTGCGTGATGAAAGCCGGTGTGTGATCTGAGTCGGGTCACGCAACCGTACAGAAAAGGATGAATCGTCGCACGAGTGTACAAGAAAAAATAAAATGACAATTAACACTGTTTTTTTTTTAGTTTTATATTTTATATTCTCCAAAACATGTGGAACTAAACTTGATTTTAGGATGTACCAGCCGAAACTCAAATAGAGAAAGAAAACAAATAGAGTTACTAAGCCGAGTCTGCAAAACTTTTCACACTAGTTTTCTTTTATTTGCACTTAACCTTTTGAGCCTTTGCTTGTGATAAACTAATCTTAACCCCGCTTGGCGTACAGACCTCTCTATCGATCACCTCTGTATGAATTGAGTGGTTTAGGTACACACGTACGCCATATACCACATGAAGGTAGAGCAGGGAAATGGAAACGAGTAAAACTGTTTAAGGAAAATTGGCCAATGCTCCGCAAAAGAACGTTCCTGAAAAACCACAAATCGACAATGGACAATGGACACATTTGATAAGCGAAATACAAGTATTTAACTTGTCTAAATTACTGAAAGGTATTGCTTTGCTCCTCTGCAGCAAGGGCATCTTCTGGCGAGACCTCAACCTGCTGTTGACGAATTGTACTTTATCTGATCCCACACCCCCGAACAGAGGCCCTTAAAGGCCAGTCTACACAGTTTGGCCTTGGGCCAGAATGCACGTACTGCTAGCTCCTACCTAAAAAAGGGAACAGTCACCTGGCTCTATCCGCCACCACCCCCCGGCACTTGTTCGCACGCTAGAAAATAAACCAATTCACTGACAAGTTTATTTTCATAACGCCAAAATCCGTCGCGTAAATGAAAAAATGCTTTAAAATGCCTCAGCCATTTTACTTACTATCTTTTAACCAAATACGTTGCGGAGAAAAGAGAGAAAAGGCTCAAAATAGCCTTTCATTTCTATTTAAATTTCAGATGGAGAATGCCCTTTTCCTAGGTCTGCACCAGTAGTGACTTGCGTGCTAAAACCCCTTCGTAGTGGTATCTCTCAGGCAAAAACGACCGCCTAGCGGCTAGGAGCAAGGAGAGAGGTTAGTGGCCCTTTCCGAAAAGAAAAAAAAGTGTAAAGGCAGCAACTTCGTCGCTCAGAAAACGTCTGCGTATATAATTTTCTTCAGGCCGCACAGAGTCATCAATTAATGTGCCTTTACGGACCCCTTTTAAATGAGCAGCCAGTAGGCTGTTCTGGAACGCTACAACGTGATTTGTGCTCCGCCACCCGGAACCAAGCATTTAGCGGTGACGAGGAAAAACTTTTATTTTTATGCGCGAATTTTGTGGATCAAACAAAGTCTACTAGCTCTAAATGTAGTGATCAAGACATGAATTTTTGTATGTGTAGGGTTGATCCTAATGGAGAACCCAATGCCAACCAACCCACCCATCTCTTCCTCCTGCCCTAAACTTAAACAAGCTAAGTAGACTTTTCATGACGTTAGCATAGTCACCTGAGACCTCTCGCGTGCTCGTCTTTTTCCGAAACGAAAAAAGAGTGTAAAAGCTGCACCTTCGTCGCTCAGCCGAAACGTCTGCGTATATTATTTTCTTCAGGCCTTACAGAGTCATCAATCGATGTGCCTTTATGGACCCCTCTATGAGCAGCCAGTAGGCTGATCTAGAACGGTACCACGTGATTTGTTGCACCGCCACCCGGAACCAAACATTTAGCGGTGATGTGGAAAAACTCTTATTTCAGTCATGCGCCAATTTTTGTGGATCAAACAAAGACCACTTAACGTAAATGCAGAAAACCTTACTTGTATCATTAACATGGTAGTAGGCCTTTCCCGATTGCTCTCGAAAAATCCTAAAAAAGTGCTGGCAAAAATGGCTAAAAAGTGCTCAAAAAGTGCTCAAAATCTCAGAATAGTGCTCAAAAAGTGCTAAAAGTTGTGAAAAGTTACCTCTAAGCTTTTCGTAAATATGTCAATTTTTACTCAAGTAATTAACAATCTATTTTGCGTAGTGTTATTCGACAGGTTGTTACGAAAGGTTGATAGAATATAGAACAATAATATTTTTAAAAAACTAAAGCCGGTTACGAATTGTAAATAAATTCAGCAGTACTCGTACTAGTACAAAGCCTAGACATCAGATGTAGAAATTTGAGATGACACACGCATGATACATCAGCCAATCAGAAACTTCTGTTCTCACGCTCAGTAAGGATAAGTCCACGTGCCTTTCCATGTCAACGGTCTTTTATTCTTGACAACATCATTAGTTATTCAAATTTATGACCTGGAACACGGTTCTCGTTGCGAGCGACACACAGTTTTTGCTTTAAAATGTTTTAGAAGACATATGTTGCTCGAAATTTGCTCGAAATGTGAAATATTGCTCAAATGTTGCCCAAAGTGCAAACAAGTGCTTAAGGGTGCTCAAAATGTAAAATAGTGCTCCAAACTCAAAAAAGTGCTCAAAAGGTGCTCAGCGCAATCGGGAAAGGCCTACATGATAGGGTCGATGTTTGGTTATTGCCCTACATACTCACGTGACTAACAAGTCAGGAGCATACCAAGTGACTCACGACATCTTTTCTATGATCGCAATAAATTCAGCATTACTGGGGCCACAGGCGCCACAAACCAAGTTTGAATATGTGCGAGATGCTATAAGAACATACAACAATGACTTGCACCGTAAAACACTTTATATACCAGGAATTTCTTTTCCGGCGCGTTACGCGTCACGCACTTCCGGAATGTCATCTTCCCTCATGTTGACAGATTGAAAACATATACAAACTTAACTTTGATTCTGCCGTGATGCAGAATTTAATCAGCGGTACTGTGAACCCGTGTAGCATTTAAGTTCAGGTAAGTAAATAACTTTTCTGATTTCAAGGTTTCAATACGATTAAAACTATAGCAAGCGAGTATTTCGACAATATTCCCCCCTCCTAACTGTGATTTGAACTGCGTATTCGTGTCTCTTCATTATGGTTTATCGCAAAAATCAGCTGAAAGGAATCATGTTAAACCGAGCAGAAACGCCGAAATATAATCTGAAACCGTTACAACTCTGACTAGGGTTTAAATGTCGAAGTAACTTATGTTTGCGAAGGATTAATATTCCAAGCGTCGAAACTTGCTTGTTGCACGTGCTTTCCTGGAGTCAAAATACTGTTCAGGTTTTGGTCTCTCGAAGGTGCGCATTTGAAATGCCGCCAGAAATATTTTAACACAAACAACAGCAAAGGATATGCTTCAATACAGTTCTTGTTTCATATTGAATTTCTATGTACCAACTGGGTTTTTACGATGGTGAAGTTAGGTCAAATTTGTCATTTTTGAAAAGTGCTGAAACCGTGTTTCTTCTTGCGGCCGGTACAGTCACATTTAAACGGTTTATTTAAAGTTAATTGCTGAATTATAAAGTAAAAATGTGTGTCTGTTTTGTGACTTGATTTCATCTAGAGATATCATTCTGTATTTATGTACGAGCGCGAAGAAAATGCTCAATTTTCGCTAATTTCATACTCGAAAGAGCGCCGATTTAGAGTTTATCAAACTTTGCCTGATTCCTGAAAAAATAAAAAGCAGTTACAAGTTTTAACGTGATTTTTGAAATTAGTGTACTATAGAGATTATTTGGGCGAAATATGAAGAAATTCAAAAATTCACGACTGTCAACCGATTCTCGAAAATTACAGACATTGGCTCTTAAGCTTCGAGAAAAGAGGCTTAGAACGAGTTCGTGGAGGTGGAGGTGGAGGTGATCATTCGAATGGCTTTCTTTTGGAGTAGATAGAGGGGTTCAAGGTAGGAGGCATATGTAGATGCCCAGGTGAGGTTACAATAGTTGAACGACAGTAGAAATTATATTCGTCCTGGATCACTTTGAATGGCATTTTGAAAAGCGCCATCTTAATCACGTTGCGTCCTTATTGCGATATCTCGAACGGAAACTTATATTTCAATCCTGATTTCAGCTGACAGTCTTAAAAGCGCAAAATCAATACCGAAACAATGCGAAAAAATAGCACAAGTATTGGATTGAGCTACAGAGGGTCGAATAGCCCTAATAAAAAGCCTTTACAGTTAAGAACGCAGACCATACCGATCGTTAAGTCCTCAGAAAGATTATAGTTACCAAGGGTCTTCTACTTCAACAACATCTCGCAGAAATTTATGACGTCTCAGAACCTATATCCGCACTTATAGGCAGAAAGCATTTACCGGTAGCTCGGCACACGGCGTTTCCGCGTTGTAAAATGTGTAGCCATCACTGAGAAAGCACCTCGATCAATTTTAGCTGGTGCATTGCAATTCGGTTAATTTGACAGTTACAGAAACAACAAAAACTTCTTTCATAACTCCCAATCAGACTGACTCCCAATGGTAATCAACTTTTATATACTGCGGTGGAATTTTGCCAGTAAAAAGTTATTATTGACTTGGCGGACTAAAGCATCGAAACACACGTGCACGAAAAGAAAATCGACTTCAATTAATAAAAGCGGACGAAAGCAAACAAGCCAAAGATCACAAGAAGGAATCTACTTAATTTTGAACGAAACGATACAGATTAATCTGTCGGTAACGTGACCTTTCATTCCTTTTCTCTTCTGTTTACAGTAAGAAGAGGTTATTATTTTCATTATTTTCACCTAAATTTGGTCCAATGATTGGAACTCGGAGCGTCAAGTTGGTCCAAGTCTAATATTAGGGAGCTTAAGCAAAGACGTTTTTGAGCGATGCACGTCAACCGGAAGTGAGGCCTTCTCCCTTTTTATCTGCCTTGGCGCTAACAAATTTGTATTGCTAAGTTTCTTTTCTCTTATTAAGACGATTTACCCGAGAATTTGAACCAAACCACTGCCCAGTGATTGAAAAAGTCCACTTCCGGTTGACGTCCGTCGCTCAAAAACACCGTTGCTTAAAGCTCCCTAATAATAGCAGACGGACCATACACATTTACAGGACCACCAAAGGAAGGCTTATTATTCAGTTTGGTTAACGAGGAGAATGCAGGCATGCGCATATAAATAAGATGGTTTCTTTTTACGCTACAATTAGGATATGAGTACTTTGTTGTCTACTCAACGGAACATTGAAACTGAAAAAAATAAAGGAATGAACCCGCATTCATGAAGGCACTAGAAGACATGACAAAGCTATTTAATAGATTCAGAATTACAACCAAGATAACAAAAACAAGGACTCGTTTTCTGTGGTATCAAAACAACCCCTTCTTCTTACCCTAAGCTCTTCCCAGATGAATTCCACCAACCAAAAAAGAGGAGGTTTACATCGAAATGAAACTGATCGTAACTAATCACTGGATAATAACGAGACACGGAATGTTCGCGAACGTGGTCTACTGTGACTCAATCGAACAAGTGTTTATTTCATGAATGAATACTTTAATACAGAAAAACCTAAAGATTTCCTGCTTGTCTTAGCTCTTATTTAAGTCATCTATAGCACTGAACTTAAACGTAAATTTGAATAACAATTCTTAGCACGGGTATAAGCTTTTGCTTGCGCAGTCGACCGACGAAGGCTACGTAAATGAACCCTTTGTGGTAAATTAACAAATAGACTAATACATTAAACAACCACAAACGTGCTGTCTGTGACATTGAAGCAATGTCTCCTTACCTTAGTCAAAAGTCCGGCTTGGAAATCACACCCAGATCTTTGAGAAACTAATGAATTCAACTGGGAAAGGAGGAAACTATGAAATAACTCTTTACGTGTTGACGCAATAATGTTATGCACTATGACCCAGTAGAAGAAGCTGATTGGATGCTGAGCTTTGTCCGGAAATTGATCTGCACGCAAGTAAATTTGAATTGCAAAATATTCTAAATTGCTCCTTGTGTGAGCCATGTCAGTAAGGATCCATGTTGCGTTATTTTCTATCTTTTCAAAAAGCTTTGATAGTTGTGTTCGTATCAATTGAATTCCAAAATTAATGTTACAGTTTTGCTGTTTAAGAGTAAATTTAGGCACAGAAACTGTTTTTCGTGTCGTCTGTTGCTATGCTACAGATGGCAAGAATTGACATGGATTTGGAATGGAAGTCGTTTGATGTCACTCTACAGGAGCATTTTGTCGAGCCCGCGGTACCTTTTTCGATTTCCAAAGCTAAGAGAAGAATATACAATTATGGCACACGGAGTTACTTCCGCATTCTGGCTAGACCATTTTAACGCTTATAGGAGACATTTTGCTTTGTCACGCAGCTGGCTTTAAGTACTGTTTTTTTCGATCCAGTTTCATAGCGTTATACAAAACGGAGGACACTTCCTTATAAACACAGTCCCAGCTAATTACAAACTGTCTTACGGGCCTAGCCTATACGTAACAGGTGCTGGTTTTGTTTTAGGGCGAAAGGAGAATATCGAGGACGCGCGCGCGTGCAGGAGGGGAGTGTGGCCCACCCGCGTAAACTGTCATAGCCCGCCCAGTAAATCACTTGATATGATTACGAATTCTAGTTGAGATTTCGTTCCAAAAACAAACAAACGAGCATTACTTATAAAGCTTAAGGTAATTTAACACGACAAAGCCAAGGTTAAAACTACTTCATCTCCTTGTTAAAGTACTGTATAAAAAACGCAGACGACTTTTTGTGTCCAGTTGGTAAAAGCACTAGGCAGTTATATTGTGGCGAAATAAATGACGATAAAAACGAACAAGCCCACGCCACAGAGAAGAGAGGAGATATTCAACCACATAGCAATTCTTGAGTTTCGTCTTGCGCCTTCGTAATCACCTCCATCATATGCACTATCCACCTGGAAATAATAATGATAATAGTAGATATCGAGGTCAGAAAACGGACATAACACAACTTTGCAAGGCAAGGTACGAAACAGACAGAGGAGAGGAGGGATTCTAAAGATCATTTAAAACTGAAATTGTTGTGAAAGATTTCGCCAAATGGTAAATACCGTACAAAAAACAGGACGTATGAAATATAATTACTAGTCAAGAACGTATGAGGAGTGATCAATAAGCCTTCGAAAAAAAGGAAAAAAGAGAAAATGCAAAGAAGGAAAACTTAGCGATCCAAAAATAACAGGGTAGGATTAATGTCACATTAATGTTACATTGGCTTAGGCGGTTGAGCTGGATTTCTGAAGAGAGATGGCGTCAAAATGTTTGATAACCTGCGAGCAGGCTCACTTTACGATTTCAGGGAAAATTTTTGGCAGCGGAAACGCAATCCCGCAAGAAGAATGGAACGAGGAAAGCTGAATAGCACTTTTATAGATATTATACTCATTCGTCTCGTTAATCTCAAGTGTCACACAGACCCAGCAATGACAAGTATTCAAAACGGCCGCCACCGTTTGAACATTTACCGAAAACTCACATTTCAAGTTAAAAAATTGGGAAAAAACAAGGCGTATGTCACACTTGAGGTGAATGATCATTTAATGAAACATTTTACGCTTTTGATAATTTTTATGTCGTTTTTGTTACTTTTGCTTTGATTGTTTGCTTATTTTAGAGAAAAAGTGCAAAAAGAGCGCGTAGTTATGCTAAAAAAAATGGTCGAACTTTTGCCACTGATGACGTCTTAACTTACCCATAGCAACCGACTTTTCACGTAAAAAGAATGACAGACTTACCATGCTACTGAAGACAATGGCGGCTAACCCGATCGGGCAGGAACAGAACAAACAGGTCAAAATGGACAAGGCCAGCCAGTTCTGTGGACGAGGAGTCATCGGCAAGATGACTGTTTGGCTGGGCTAATAAATGAAATACAATGGAGAAGCAATTAGTATTATTTCAATCACAAGATTCCTACATTCAACTAAAGATTAGCTGTTACCGATTTTATTGGAAAATTACTACGTCTGAACGTGCATTGAATTTCGGAAGCAAAGACCAACGTTACAAAAAAGAAGGACCCGATCCTAATAAACTGAATCTCATCAGCTATAAGTTGAAATATCGAACAAAAGAAGCATGGCTGATTTTACAGTCCCGAATATATATTTTTTGTCACCAATATTGTATGTAAGACCCTGAAGAAGGAAGGCCGTGCCTTGCGAAATATTGGTAACAAAAAATGTATATTCCCGACTGTAAAATCAGCCTTGCTTCTTTTATTCGATGTTTCTGTGGCATCCTTTTTTAAGCTCCTTAAATATTTCGCGAAAAAAAATTAGATAAATAAAAATCGAAGCGAAATCATTCGTTTAAGAAGCTATATAACACACCCTACCCAGCTGCGTTTAACGGATGCGAAACTTTCTTCCTGACATCTTCATGTCATAAGGAATTACAACAAAACTAGAATATTCGCAAGAAAAAATTCATAGCAGGAGCTTTCTTCCTATTTCCATTGGGCACGCTCATGACGTCATCAAATTAATACCTCTTTAGTTCTTATGATCTAAGCATTCCCCTCAACTGCACCCATACAATATTATTTAAAAACCGTACCTGCATAACCACCGTTGTTGAACTTTGCTGCGTCACTGGGTACGGTTGTGGATAACCCATGGGTTGTCCAGTAAAAGGCTGAGGGCCTGGGTACCCCGGCTGTGCATTATATGGTTGCTGTGGGTAACCAGGCTGGGCAGGGTAACCGGGCTGGGCTGGGTAACCAGGCTGGGCTGGGTAACCAGGCTGGGCTGAGTAACCAGGCTGAGCTGAATAACCTGACTGAGCAGGCAAGTTAACTTGTTGTGCTGGATATGGTGGGGGCGACACTTCATCTTCAAGAGGGACATAATTTGTTAGTGGAAAATAATTTAATAATAAAATATCATCTACGTTGAAAAATGTACATAATTTATATATATTGATTAATAGACTCATTGGTCATTGCTGTGGTAGTTCCTATCTTGTTGCTGTGGACGGGTTCAACTACCAAGCGACGTAATACAGAACAGTCCAGTCAAAATTGCAAGCGCAGTCATGTGATTTGGTTGCTAAAGTTATGTAAAACGTTGTAGCTAAATCACCTGGGCGGTTTGCTTGAATAATACCGTACCCGTTTTCGCTCCTAAATACCAAATTCTTTTTCCGTCTTTGTTAATGCTGTCTCTGAGGACACCGTTGGGAAAGTTTTGACTGATTTCTTATAATCTAAATTGCGTTCTATACTAAGGTGGGCACCCGCCGAGATAATTGTCTGTTTTTACATGACGTCACCGAAATTCAGACTAAGAAACTATCCGTTCTTCTTAGGTTCTACTTTCATGAGTTTTTCCGACTATCTCGCATATATATCCTACAAACCTAATTCTGGCCGATCTCGGCAAAGCATTTCCCAGATTCTGGACTTTCCTGATTGAACGGTTTTCATTTTAATTTTTTATCGCGTGACATTAAAAACAGGGAATAGACGTTAACATACCTTCGACAAGTTTTGTGTTATCAGCCATATTTTCTTTTGTTACCTCTTGTCACTGGTTCTACAAGAAAATTTATAAAACGAATAAAACTATACCACATTCGTTACTGTTAAGACGTAGTTCGCGTTTTAAGGGTTCATCTACACAAAATATATTGTTTCGAAATCGAAAAAACTCGTTGCCAGCCTAACGCTGGAGTTAAGTTGGACTGAAAGCACCTCGATCAATTTTAGCTGGGGCATTGCAATTCGGTTAATTTGACGGTTACAGAAACAACAAAAGTTCTTTTATAACTCCCAATCAGACTGACTCCGAATGGTAATCAAGTTTTATATACGTATACTGTGGTGGAATTTTGCCAGTAAAAAGTTAGCGTTGACTTGGCGGACTAAAGCATCCAAACACTAGTGCACGATAGGAAAATCGACTTCAATTTATAAAAGCGGACGAAAGCAACCATGCCAAAGATCACTAGAAGGAATCTACTTAATTTTGAACGAAACGATACAGATTAATCTGTCGGTAACTTTACCTTTCATTTCTTTTCTTTTCTATTTAAGAAGAGGTTATTATTTTCACGTAAATTTGATCCAATGATTGGAACTCGAAGCGTCAAGTCAGGTCCAAGTCTAATAGCAGACGGACCATATACGACCGGCAGGGCTTTCATGACAAAGCAATTTAACAGATTCAGAATTACAACCAAGATAACAAAAACAAGGACTCGTTTTCTGTGGTATCAAAACAACCCCTTCTTCTTACCCTAAGCAGCCTAAGCTTTTCTCAGATGAATTCCACCAACCAAAGAAGAGGAGGTTTACATCGAAATGAAACTGGTCGTAACTAATCACTGGATAATAACGAGACACTGAATGTTCGAAAACGTGGTCTACTGTGACTCAATCTAACAAGTGCTCATTTTATGAATGGATACTTTAATACAGAAAAACCTATACCTAAAGATTTCCTGCTCGTCTTAGCTCCTATTTAAGTCATCTATAGCACTGAACTTAATAGTAAATTTGGATAACAACTCTTAGCACGGGTGTAAGGTTTCGCTTGCGCAGTAGACCGACGAAGGCCACGAAAATGAACACATTTTAGCAAATTAACAAATAGACTACTAATACAATAAACAACTAGAAACGTGCTGTCTGTGACATTGAAGCAATGTCTCCTTACCTTAGACAAAAGTCCGGCTTGGTAATCACACTAAAATCTTTGAGAAATTAATGAATTGAACTGGGAAAGGAGGAAACAATGAAATAATTCCTTAGGTGTTTTGACGCAATAATATTATGCACTATGACCCAGTAGAAGAAGCTGATTGGATGGTGAGACTGAGTGTCTAGCTTTATCCGGAAATTGATCTGCCCGCAAGTAAATTTGAATTACAAAAATATTCTAAATTGCTCCTTGTGTGAGCCATGTATTAAGGAACCATGTCGCGCTATTTTCTATCTTTTCAAAAAGTTTTGATACTTGTGTTCGTATCAATTGAATTCCAAAATTAATGTTACAGTTTTGTTGTTTAAGAGTACATTTAGGCACTATACTGTTTTTGCGGATGTCGTCTGTTGCTAGGGATGGCAAGAATTGACGTGGATTTGGAATGGAAGTCGTTTGATGTAACTCTACAGGAGCATTTTGTCGAGCCCGCAGTACCTCCCTAAGAGAAGAATATACATTTATGGCACACGGAGTTACTTCCGCATTCTGGCTAGAAACGCTTACAGGAGACATTTTGTTTTGTCACGCAGCTGGATTTAAGTACTGTTTTTTTCGATCCAGTTTCAAAGCGTTATACAAAACGAAGGACACTTCGGTACAAACACTGTCCCAGCTAATTACAAACTGTCTTACGGGCCTAGCCTATACGTAGCAGGCACTAGTTTTGTTTTAGGGCGAAAGGAGAAATATCGAGGACGCGCGCGCACGAGGGGAGTGTGGCCCGTCCGCATAGCCTGTCATGATGGCCCGCCCTGCAGTAAATCACTTGATATGATTACGAATTCTAGGTGAGATTCGTCATGATTTCAATCGTCCCTCTCCGATTTTAAGTTTTAAACTTTACCCCATCATGAAGTTTTTCGATCCATTTGGAGTGAAATAAGTGATCAATGTTACACTCACTTTATTGAACATACTTTATAGTTTCAAGTTCTATATCTACTAAAAGAAAAAATAAAAATGAGGTCGATTCCTCCGGGAGACCCAAGAATTCAGTTATCATTGAGTGACCAAAGATTATATTGATTTCCCGGCTCCTGTGTCGCGGTGGGAGGTAGGTTTTATTTCGTCGTAATTGTTCTTGTGTTCGAGCAATGTAGGAAAAGTGCAAAAGAGATCAGTTTGGGATCTAATAGTTCGGTTTCCACTGCTGTGTTAAATTTTCCCTGCTGCAAATTCTATGGCAGATATTCTCCAAGTTAAAAAATATGACTGCAAAGACACTCATTTTACACGATATTTAAGGCAAACCCGCGACACTGGCAAACTGCAGTAAACGCCCTTAAGGGGTGACCTTAGTTGTGACAGTAGTAACCACTACCGCAAACCAGACAATCAGGAAAACGATTAAGCCAACACCGCACAGAATAGAAGCAACATTCAGCCACAAAGCTATCCTGGAGTTTCTTCGGGCTCCTTCGTAATCTCCTCCATCATATGCACTGTCCACCTAGAGATGACATTAATGGCAATAATGATAAAAAAAATTACTGACAAACTGGCCTGATATATATAGACTTAAGGCTAAAATCAACAAATATGTCGCTACCCAAATCAAGTCCTCGTTTTTCGTAAATCTGATAACCCCACACCGTAGTTACAATTTCGCGGAATTTAAATTTTGGTGAAACTTCCTCCAGTACCCCACTGAATTAAAGGCCACCATGTCACACATTCTTTGCAAAGTTCACATATTTAAATTTAATTCTGATTGGTTATTCAAACTGACGATAAATTTTGTGATTATTGCTTAATCTTTCCCAACGTTAAAAAATCCAAGGTGGTCTCATTCTTAAAAAAAAGGAAGAATGTTCGACGATGCATCACATCTTACTGTGCACGGTTTTGCTTTTAAAACGTCACTGTCACTTTCAATGATGATGATACAGAGGAACTCTCCTTTGGAACACCTCTGTTCAAGAGACACTTCCATTCAGGGGGAAGGGACACTTTTTCTGGGACCCGAAAGCCAGATTTAACCTTCATTCAGAGGACACCTTTATAGCACTTAAAAAGTGACTAACCACAGAAATCGTCGATAAGTTTACATGTAAGTGTTCCTAGTCACAATGGCGATAGCTTTCAAAATTAAATCGATGTACTGCACTGAGGGGGGCGTAGGGGTTTGCGGTATTGCGGTATTGGGTTATTTTTGGTGCGGTGTTGCGGTAATTTTTATTTCAAAATACGGTATTGCGGTTTTCAGAGTCCATGCGATGTGCGGTAAGTTTAAATTTCATGTCGCGGAAGTCGGTGAAAAAATCGTTGTGTCGTGTTGATCTGCTTCTTTTTCATGACATGTGCGGGAATTTTACGGCAGAGCCTCTCCGTTCGTTGCGCCGTACTGACGAGCCCCCAAAAGGGCGAAACAGCTGTCTACGGCTACGACCCCGGTCTGTTTTTAGTTCTTTCGGTGTCGTGTTGATGTCTTGCAAAGTTAATTTTCACGTCGTAAGATCAGCTTTGCAGAATTCAGTGTGTCTATCCATTATATTGATGCTTGGAATAATGACTCAGCAGATTCAAAGGCAGATTAAAAGGAAAATATTTTATTTGTTGGTTAATTATAAACAAACCCCATCCCTACCTCCATTCAAGGAATACCTCTATTCAGGGGACATTTACCTTGGTCCCGAGGGTGTCCCCTGAATAGAGGTTGCATTGTATGGCCTTATAGAGGATCAATTAACATACAAACGGCACAAACACAGCTGAGTAGAGTTCGTACAAAAACGCTGTCTACCAACGGAACAGTAAATAGTCTTACCGTGCTACTGAAGCAAATGGCAGCTAAACCGATTGGCCAGATACAACACAAGCAGGTAAAAATGGACAGGCACATAAAATTCTGTGGACGAGGAGCTGCAGGCAAGATTACCGTTTGGCTGGGCTAATCAATATTACAAAAGAGAAAGGATTAATTTTCAAAACTTCTTGTAGCTCATTATCAGTTATAGGTCAGTGAAATTACATAGTCCATTGGGACGTCTTCTTTACAAAAAATACATTTAATTGGATTGGCAATGTTTTTAGTATGAAATTACTAATTGGGGACACCATTTTGGAGTCTCCTACTGGAGACGGGATCGCCATTTTAAGAGGTCATCCAAGCCACGCGAAGGTCTAACCTTTTCTATAGGGCAAAGGCAGTACCTTAGTTTCTCAGTTATTTTGAGACGCAGGGTGTTTGTCAGGTCCCGAGAGTCTAGCGCTCTACCGACTGAGTAGCCTAAGAAAACAGACCACATTTCGTGACGCTACCACTGGTTTCCCAGCGAAATGACGTCTGAGAAATGAGCGCAGAAATTCCATACTGATGACACGTCACTAGATCTGCATATTGCTTCTGATTGGTCGTGCCGCTGGTGTAATTTGCTTCAACCAATCAGAAGCACTACCCAGATTTTGGTAGTGACGCGTCGTCAGTATGGAATTTCTCCGCTCGTTTCTCAGGCGTTATTTCGCTGTTAAATCGTTGGTGGCGTCGCGAAATGTCGGCTGTTTTCCCAGGTTCCTGACTGAGTTAATCCTGCTGCGGTTTATGATGATAGGCTGAGCTGGGACTGAACTTCTGGACTTTTTCTTGATTTCTCTCTCCTCCTTTTGAAATCTTCTTACACTGACAAAGGATTTTTGAATAAACCAACTTGGATAATTTTTTTCAAACACTGTTATAGATATTCCATCAAGAGAGTAACAAATAAGGAAAATAACTCATGAAGGAGGTTTGAAATCGAATCTTAGTTATGATAAATTAAACTTCGAAGAGTGAGTCAATTCCTGGCGTAATTTCTTTTTTTTTTTTGGTGGGGGAAGGGGGGGGGGGAGGGGAACAACAGCAAAATTTTCAACTGATACCTTCGAAAAATACTTCTGCCTGTGATATCTTCAGTGGTTATTAAGAAGCTGAAAGAAGTGGAAGGATTTTATCTGGTCTACTCGCTTAATCGGCAAATTTTCGGATTCAATCGATAGGTCATTCACGGGTTTCCAAGGAGGTGACATAATCTCAACACCCAGCAATTTTTCAATTTATTTTCTTGCTCTTCCTTTTTTTTCTTTTTTAAAAGAAGTTTTTTTTGAGTGTCTGTATTACTCTTGATTTTACTTGGTTAAGCTGTCTTTATTAAGGTTAAAAACCCTTACCTGCTGCATAACTACCGTTGTTGTACTTTGCTGTGCCCCTAGGTATCCTGGTGGATACCCCATGGGTTGTCCAGTAAAGGGCTGGGGGCCTTGATGTTGTGGGTCACCAGGCTGGGCTGGAAATTTGCCTTGTTGTGCTGGGTAAGGTTGAGGCGTCATTTCCACTTAAAAAAAAAGAATTGATTTGTTTGCTCAAAGGTACTTAAAAGAATCAAAAGGGGCAGCAGATGGTGCGGCAGGAAACATAGTTAAAAAAGCAACAAAAGCTAAATACCACTCTAAGGATGAAAAATAGTATTTGAAGAATCTCTTTATTCTGACTCGAAACTGTCGAGAAACAGGCAATATTTTTAATTCAAATATTGAATAATTGAATTCTGCTTTCGTCTGATATGAAGAATAATGTAGAACGAGGAGGTTAGGCCTTAGCCTTTATAGGTTTTATTTCAAACTTTGGACATTGCAAAGAATGTGACGCGTGACGAAACACGTCAAAAGCTGGTAAAGTTGACCTGGTTGACAGGGTAACCTTACCTGTGAAACTTGCCTGTAAAACGTTCAGAGCTAACTTTAACCCGCTAAGGGTAGCCCTAGCACAAGGGTAACCCTCTCTCCTTGTAAACAGGCCCTAAGATAATCACTGTCCGGTTAAACACTTTAACTTCGAGGGTCGCAATTTTTCTTTACCGATTAACAATTGCTAGTTATAACGGTTTGGCAAATTCTGAATTCGCTCAGTTGTCTACGCAAGGACATGAATGTCAACATACCTTCGTCGTGTTTCACCTTGTCAGCCATATTTCGCTATTTCACTTCTTGTCACTGGTTCTACAGAAAGATGAAAAAAAAGGCTACATTGCCTCATCCATATAATCGTATTCCTAGCCTATATGGAGCTTAGTTGTGCTTTAATTAAAAAAAGGTATTAAAATGCAACAATTTGTTCTTGATGTGCGGAATGCTTAGACTGACAGCCGAGTATGCACTTCAATACCATCAGCGTCAATTAATTCATTTACTGATTATATTCATGTTTCAACTACAGCCTTTGCTCTTCTTTACCAGGAAATAAATTTTCATTAGCGTCAATTCGAGAAAATGAATGTGTCATCATTGTACAAAACAACACGCAACCTGCCTCGTACCCAGACGTCTCTCTCGCGATGAAAATCTGCCCGCAACCGAACTCTGAAGTTCAAAAGCAACGAACCTAGAAACACACAAAATGGATCGAAATCCACCAATCACAAACCACAAACCATGACCTTTCGTTTCCTAAGAGGTCCGCTAAGAAGCGCCGATTCTTCAGAGTTTGATTGACGTCGCAGAAAAACCTTGCCTAGTCCCTGTGCGGCGTTTTCCCATCCCTCTCGGCCAATTCACTTCGGTGACGTATCCGAGGCGAGCTCGCCATTCTCGTCCCCAGAGCCACTCGACTTGATTTGTAACGAACCCCTTGTCTCAAGACCACGTGACCGAGAAACGACGGGCTCTGGGGACGAGAATGCGAACGGGCGGGAAACGCCCAGACAAAAACAGAATGCGCATGCGTGCGTTGCTCTTTAAAATTCAAGATGTTGTCTTGTCGATGTTGTAAACAGTACACATTAACGCGAATAAGTGCCGCGGCGCTTATTCGAGAATAGTGAGGAATCGGTCCACGCATTGATAAAGTCAAAATTATAATAATTCTCTTCTGTCTTGTCTTGCACAAAATCAGATTTTTTTTTTCAAAATTTGACATTCATTATTAAAGCCTAAAACTAAAAGAAAAATTAAACAACATCTAGTTCATTGACATAGTATCATGCGGCTAAGAATAAAGGCTTTGCAATTTAATCATCAATTTCCGTGGCATAATTATCGAAGATATGAATAAGATGATAAAGACCATGGAGAAGATGTAAGGCTCCTTTTTCACCAGGTGCTTTTGATGAAAGCTTATTCTTATATTACTTATATTAACATTAAACCCTGTCGTTAAGAACCTTAATACAGCCAAGAAGACAAGGAACAGATTATTGTTGTTGTTGTTTTTTTCAGATACTTTTGAATTGCTCCACAGAGTACTGATGTAGATGTTTTTGTCTTTGAAACTATTTACTAAAATGCAGTACATTAAAATATTTTAGAGATGCTAATTAATTTTTTAGTGGTTTATAGTTTTAATGAAAAAAAATGAGCATGCCAGCTGAAGATGAATCAAACATTAGATTTCAAATTATCTTCATATCATATCTGAAAAACTTCAGCTGCATTAAGACGTCAGTCAAAAAACTAACTTACCACGCACTATATGTCCAAATACAAGTTCAAATCAGCTCAAAATTAAGAATGTTGCATCTATTCATCAAACGACAGAACCGTTTTTCATTATCTCGGCCGAATGTTCGTGGAAATGCTCCACTCAGTGAAAAAACACTGTTGCATTTTTTAGTTTTTAACCATTGCATCTCGATGGATCGGTGGGTTGCAGTTTTCCGAGTCCTGTTTACTACCCTTGTTAACGAAAACTTTAAAATTTCTTTCCATAAAATGACTTGATGAAAGCATCCGGACAAAAGAACTTAACTATAGGAAGGATAAAAGCTTTTAACGTCAACCCAGTGAAGAAGTGAACGCATATTATTTCAACGCATAGTTTTACTAAAAATAGATGCTCGTGCTTTGGTTAATGTGGTGGCACTGAATCCTTTTTGTAAGGTTCTGAAACCCGCATATTTTTAGAAAGCAGCCAAAGAAGTTTTTTTTTTAACTTACCAGCTTAGATTATATCCACGTCGCCCTAAAGATATTTGTATGGCTGTCAGTGGTTTTTCTTTTTTTGGAAATATAAATAAATACAGTGTCCATCTGTTTTTATTTTATTCCAATCATGTTTCTTTATAAGTTATTTAATTTAGAGCAACGAATGGTTGAAGAACTTATTGAACGCTGGTCAAAAAAATGAATTATCCCGTTGTTTTAGAGTTTATTGATAATTCTAAAGGCAACCTGTTTGTGCTCGTAGAACAAAATTATTGCGATAAAAAAACGTCCAGATCGAAGACCGTAACAAACATGACGAAAAGTAACAAAGTGCAACCAAAACATTAATTTGTTTATATGTAAATGAACATTATTAGTATAACCGAGGCAAGTATTGGCTGTACTGAGAGGGCAGTGGAACAGTCAATTTTATGCGCACTGAGTTTGACGTACGGTTTATTGATTTCGATATTAAAATGAAATACACTTCACGGGAAACTTGTATGTCTCAATCTTTTCATATAAAAGCGCTCACTAACAATTAGAACTTTCTCCAGCAGTCCTCCTCTGTCATCATACACAGTAACTCACCAGCGTAAGTAAGTATTTTTTTATTCTTCTTACTTTGATTAATAAGAGTGTTGAGAATGAAACCGACATTGGCTGTTTGCTGTTCGTTGCATTCTTTTCGGCTAGTGATTTAGCAGACCCAGCAAAATAAATGTAGTATAGCAAGGTGAAACACAACGCGGACGGCAACGGCAATAGCTTTTATCATCAAATCTACTACTCTACTCGTGCAGTACACTTTTTTGTATATTTCTTCGCCGTCACTGCACGACTACGACATGAAATTCCCTCAGTTGACGTTTTATGGAGGACGCAAACACGCTAGGACAAATTTCTCTTTCTCCCTCTAGTGTTAAATGTGGACTTCAATAATTCGATACCAAAGAAATTCATCTACATTTGCGACTTAAGGTGTGTCGAAATAAATGTGACAAAATTTGGAAAAAAGCCTTTTTTATATCAAGTGCCGTTTTCGCTGTCGTTTTTGCCAGGGTAACCGTTTCCCTTCTACCATGAATGGCAAGGGACGACGAAGAGACACGTTCAGGAACCAGATTAAGTACGATCCTGAACAAAGATAAAGACAGATTTAGAATCGCGTTCATGACAAAACTCAGATTCATGTTGACAATTTCTCAAATTAAAAAAAAAATGAGGAGATAAACTATCCAGAATAAATGCTATGAATGAAACTATTTTTTTCGTGTAGACATGATGATTGGCAAACGACCAGTAAAGGGAGCACTCGGTTATGTTGTACAAATTAACATTTGCCCTAAACGTGATTCTAAGAGACTGCTCACACTTGCTGCCCGAAAACCAGTGCCTGGGTACCGGCACAAAATGGTTTTGTGTTCACACCTTGAGTACGCAAAATGTGGATCTGAACATAGTTACTCCTTCTCCCCGTCAGATGCCATTTTGAGCAGTGGATTGCTCCAGAAATAACAAAAACGGTTTGCACACAAGGACCCACTGCCCACTTTAGTTCCCGAGTAGAAGGTCTTGACCTTGTAGAAACTGCTTCTCGAGACCGGAAAAAGTCTAACAAAAGGCCTGACGTACTCGGGAGGCCCGTAGCAAGCATAAAATGACTGGGGGGGGGGGGCTGAGCGAGTGGCCCACATTAACTCCCCCCCCCCGCTCCTGTCCCTCGGTTAAAGCATACTTCTTGGTACATGTCACATAGCTACATTT